CAGGTGCAACATGCATCCTCTCGCTCTGTACGTTGCCTTGACTACCACATGACCCCAGTCTCATATATTCGGATTGTAGATCCCCATAACCCAAATCCCCATAACCCAAACTTCTGTACCACATCAGATTGAGGGTCCTTGCCACAAAACACCCAGTTCTCCCCCACTTAGGGTTCGAACCACCGTCCATTGACATACCCAACAGACTGGCTCACCAAATGTAGCATTCCCGACTCACGGAACGTACGACGCATCACTCGATGATCTTGCAGATAATGACCAAATAACTCCAAGTATCCCGTATCTCAGATCAAAACCTCGGAATCCTCCCAATGTGACTGCCTCTAGTCACCCAAAATCTCATACCGACACATCACCGAACATCTCGACCGTCCCGAATCAGTTACGACTCTCAACCTGAGAGTAATGATCTATCACACACACCTCATCGTTGATTCCTCAGCCAACATTCCATCGTGTGAATTATCATAGAAGCAAGAGACCTCACTCTCACAGTCGGTTTACAACGTAAACAACGAGGGCTGCCGCCCCGATATACTCCTCTTCATTACCTGGAACTTATGCTAAAATATGCCTTACTATACTCAACTAAGGCATATCATTGTCCTCATCCATCTCATTCCCCACTGATGACTCTCTTATAGTATAAGAAATACCTCGCAGGAGACATACCACAAAATACTCTGGTGAAAACATCGCAACTATATGCTACCCCACGGGGTTTACCTCCAAAATCTGAAACTGGAAGCTCGTTATCTCTTTCGATCCACACGGGAAGTGGAAATTGTGTAATTCTCGTAACAGAAAGTGACATCTCAACCATTGGTCGATCACTCAACCCAGACCGCACTCCTCCACAAGGCATTATCTCCACTTTTCCTTGAGTCCTGCGACTCCAACTGGCACCTCACCAGTCAAACCCCTCGGGATCTAAACTCAATTTTCCTCGCAAGGTACACTCTATTGAAGCTCGACCGACCTGGCCCTCTGGCCTTACAAACTACGATATCCACTCTCAATCTGAACAGCCACAACGGGATAACTGGTAAAAACGAAAGCAACCTCTGCTACGAATCATGGTACTTGAACCATGTTATCTCCCCTCAATTTGCTATTTGGAACCTCTGGAATTCTCCCTGTTTCGAGTATGCGTCCTCTGCTTTCAGTAGTACGGGCCCATATTACCTGCCACATCTACCCATACTTTCCACATGGATCTTCCCAGATTTCCTAAGTAGCTACTCAACTTTCTCGATCACCAATCCCATTACACATGTTCGCTCTCCAACGAATACTCACCTCTAAATAGCGTACTTATCGGACTAAAATTACTCCCTAGGCTCTTCCTAGTTTCTCACACTTCTCTGCCATCAAATGCTGAATAACTCCTCATGATGCCAACCATCTACCTCCTGAATATCATCATATTGACTTAGTAGCTGACTCCTATCATTCAAGAGTTCCACAAAGCACAAAGAAAGCAACATTCGGGCAATGAATAACCTCTATCAGCACATCAAACCACTCTACCATACAACTCCACTCGCTCTATCCACAACTCAAAAGGCGTCACCGAACTCAGGTAATCCTACCTCTCGTGGGTATCTAACTACTCTCTCAGCAAATTCCTCAAATAAACATCTAGGCACCTCTCCTAGATTACTCCTCTATTCAAAGCTCTCTCTAAAAGATTCCTGCTAGGTACTCCTACTCAGCACATACATAGAGCAAATAGCAGATAATATCAATCAATAGCATCCTTTAGGCTAAGGCATCGTGAATTAGGAAAATCTAGCTCTAAATTCCTGAAATACCTAGACTATCCTCTAGCATGCAGGTCTAATATCTCATAAGTATCTCATAATATAACAAGTAATGGTATTTTGGGAAATCACCGTTCGAGCTCTGGCTGATTGTACACACTGCTCCATCTCGTTTTCTCTTAAAAGCTCTTACTCGTTTTAGAAAAATCATTTCTTTTTAGAAAATTTTCACAAATCCTCAGTTTGAGTCCAGACATACTCGAGAGTACATCTGAATCCCTCAAACCAAGGCTCTGATACCAACTTGTAACACTCTAAATTTTCAAACAAAATTTTCATTTTTAAAACCACATAAAACACAATCCCACATTTCTCAAAACTCAATGTATAAGTTGTTCAAAACTAAAGACAACAAAATGTTTGACAATATCCCATAATCCTCAAAACATAATCTCCAGCTGGTGTGTACAATCAAACCGACGCCTTCCCGCGATCCTGAGAGGTACCCGAAACCCATATCACACAACACTGTAAGCACGATGCTTAGTGAGTCCCCCAAAATACCATGCACAAATAATTAGCCTCTCATGGCTATATCTCGATAAGGACCCTCCGGTCATGTGGCTCAGTGAAGACCCTCCGATCTCACAGCTCGGGTCGGACCCTCCAGTCCGAAATCTCAGTGAAGACCCTCCGGTCCTAACTCAATAAGGCACATAAATAATACACAACATAAATCACAAAGACAAAATGCATGATATCACATAACTCAGTATAAGCACATAAGACCCTCTGGTCGATAACTAAAATAAGACCCTCCGGTCAAAAACTCAAATAAGACCCCCCGGTCACACAATATTACCACTCGGGTAAGTATAATGAGAAGACTCACCTCGCATAGTAAAGCAATGCATCCCACACTTGAACTGCTGGTCTAGACTCCGCCCCTCCATAGCCTCCAAAAATCCATAGCTTGAGCAAAACCCTAAAGTCAACAGTCGAAGCTGGCCCAACTCGTCGAGTGCAACTCATGAACTTGTCGAGTTTCTCTGTACTCAGTAAATCACGAAAACCTGATCCAACGCACCGAGTTGCTAGCCAACTCGAGGAGTCCATGCAGAGTCCAGACGATCGGGGAAAAACCCTAACCACTCGTCGAGTTCACTCTGAATCCAAAATCGGGAAAACACAACTCAACTCGTCGAGTTGGATGCTCAACTCGTCGATTTCTTTAGCCCTTTCTCATTAAACTCATTCCAGTCGATTCCAATGCTCCAAACTCCAGATCCAACCTCCTAGGATGAAGTTACCACGTAAAGTTGCTAACTTTACGATCATGCAAGGCCTCACAAGGCTAAAACACCTAAAACTAAGCTCAAGAAGGGTTTAGGGCATAGAGAAGGGTCAAAGCTTGATAAAGCTTGAGACTTTATGTACATGATGGCTTAGAGGAGTCTAGATCTGCAACTACACCCTCTGGACAAGATTAACCTGAGGATGGCTCTCATTTTGCACCAAAATCCTCATAAACTCACATAAGAAGAGATCTAAGAAATGGTAAGCCAAGGTAAAGACTTTTTACCTCCATATGGATGCTACAACTATATGAATGTTGGATCTAAAGACTCCTTCTTGTTCCAAGTTCTTCACTCTTCATGTTCCTTCAAGGAATGCACCAAAACACACCCATAGCTCCAAACACTCTCAAATGGAAGGTACTCGATTAGGGTTTGTCTCAGGGTGGTACAGTGATGAGGGAGGCGGGGTAAAGGAGTTAAAGTCCTTTAAATAGGGTGCAAGCCCGAATAATTAGGGTTTCATCAAACAGACTCAACTCGTCGAGTCCAGTCCTCCGACTCGACGAGTAGACTTCATAATCCCGCGCGTCGTGATCAAATCCTACACGAAGATTTGGGACCAACCCACTCGTCGAGTAGGTCCTATAATGTGCATAAAATTTAAAGTCATCGTCGTAATCCTCCACATTATGGCTCGATGTTATCTTTACTCAAACCTTAGGATCACGCATAATGGTTCGAGCAACTAAAAATCATAGCCATAATCCTCCACATTATGGGTCGATGTTATTTTTACTCGAACCTTAGGGTCATGCCTAACGGTTTGAGCAACTTAAAATCATCGCTATATTCCTCCACATTATGGATCGATGTTATCTTTACTCTAACCTTTGGGTCCCGCCTAATGGTTCAAGCAACTCAAAATTATCGCCATAATCCTCCACATTATGGCTCGATGTTATTTTTACTCGTACCTTAAGGTCGTGTCTAACAGTTCGAGCAACCTAAAATCATCGCCATAATCCTCCACATTATGGCTCGATGTTATTTTTACTCGAACCTTAGGGTCATGCCTAATGGTTCGAGCAACTCACAATCATTGCCATAATCCTCCAAATTATGGATCGATTTTATTTCTACTCAAACCTTGGGATCATACCTAATGACCCGATGTTATTTTTACCTGAACCTTAGGTTCATGTCTAATACTTCGACCAACTCGCAAATATTGTATAATCTTCAAAAGTATGGCTCGATGCTCTCATCATTTGAGCCTCGGGGATCGAGCCATATACTTAGCATAATACCCATGGTCGGGGGTGAAACATTTCAGAACGTGACAGACACTTTGGGTCAATAAAGAAGTTGGATGCCAGCCCTTGTCAATAAAAGAATAATCGATCACGAGAACAAGTAGAAAAAAGATTCGAACACATAAAGCGAAAACTCATTATCATTCAACAAAATGCCATTGCACGATAACGAAGCAAACAAAACCCACCTAACGACATGGGCGAGATCAAAAGTTACGGTTACATATCCAAACCATTACTAAAACAAACACAACCCCCAACCACTGGCTCGATCCAACTTCGTCCTCTTTGGAGCAATCCACAACCTTTATCAATTTTTTCAAACCACCTACATCCATTCCTTCATCCCCTAGAGCAGATAAAAGTGAGTACTTGTACGTTTTAATCTCAGCAGAGCGCTCAATAATCTGACGTTATGCATCTGGGTATGAATACAATACATTCTTATCTTTCAACTCTTCAGGGTACTTTTCCTTCATGTCTACATAAGCTTGATGGAGACCAAGTTGGATGGCGGACATCTGCAAGGTAGCATTCACGGAACCAAAATCACTCGAATCTAATAAAGCACAGACAAAAAGAGGGATACCTTCCTTCATGACCCATCACAGCTCCTCAGCCTTTTGATCCACTTCTTCCTGGCAAGTCGCTGCTTTCTGTTCAATCACGAGTTGTGAATCATTCAATGTGGCAATTGGAGCATCCTTTTCCAACATCAGGAGTTTCGCTGTAGCCAACTCCTTCTCCGACAACTTAATGCTAACATCCTTGCTCGAACAGGCAATCTCCAATTGAGAAATTTTCTCCGTGTATTGCGACTTCAGTGAATGATACTGCCGAGAAACACCTTCAACCTCTTTAACGGCGGAGGCGCGATGGCTCATGGCGTCATCTATTTTCAGTTGAAAATCCTGATTCAACCTTTTTAGCTCATCATCGTGACCAATAGATTGACTCAAATCCACCACCAGACTCTGGTTCCTCTCTGAAAAACCAACTACTTCTTCCTTCAAGTCCTTGGCTTCTTTCTCCGTCTGTTCATGAAGGGCCCGCATCTGCTTCAACCCTTCCAAAGCTTCATCAAAAACAACTTGGCGTTGGGCAAGCTACTCTGAGCGTGCTTTTGTACATAGGGACACTTCGTTCAACAAATGAATTCCTTCCATCAAGCATGACCGAGCTTTATCCAATGCTTATTCATCAGAGGCAACCCCCATTTGAAAAGGGTTATTGGGAACACTGGTCACAGTGAAAGGGCATTGAAACTAGGGAAGTGAAGCAATAAGGGTAATCAGTGTTGGCATGGCGGCTTCTTTCCCCGTTATGACGATAACTGCACAAACAATAAGCAAGCAAATTGTAACAAGGATCCAAAAAATAAAAGAAAGAAAGAAGGAAGCAAACGTCGACAAAGAAAGAAAAGGAACATACGGCCCGATGAAGTGGGAGGATTCAGGATAATTGCTTCCATGTCCACAGGGTCGATCCCCACAGAGTTTCTGTTGGAACACAACGACAATAGACAAACTCTTAAGGTCTTCCTTCTCCAAAAGGGGGGTTTTTTAGGGGTTTTTCCCGGGGGGGGGGGGGGGTCCCCAGCAGTCTCTGGTTCTGATTTGGCTAAATGAGACGCCTCTGCCTTGCTTTCCACACGCTTTATTTCACTGTTCGGTTCGATTGGACATTCATGGAAGACAGTAGTAGTAGGGTCTTCTAAGGTATGCTCAGAGATTATAACATCAGGAACCGGAGGATCGGCCAGATCATTCAGGCTTCAGCTTCTTGATTCATGACTAGAACGTTTCCGTTTGGGAGGAGGCATTTTGATGAGATGATCATATTGAACACTTTCAGAGCGCCTCTTTAAGATGAACCCTTTCGAGGAATCTCTTTTAGAGACCGAGGAAGGTTTGTCACAATCAAAATCCAATTTCACACCTTTGGAGCGAAGGTTAGGGGGAATAGATTTAGAGCTCTCTGACTGAGAAACCTCTAGAGTAGAATCCATGTTGGATTCTAACTGAGTCGGAGAGTCCGGAACCATCACCTCCTCTGTAACTAGGGCAGGGTTCGCATTACGCTTCCGATGAAGGCGGTCGAGAAGGGTTATATTTTTTTCCCTCAAACACTTCCACATGCTTCTTACCTAAACGATTCCAATGGGGACTCATGCCCTCCATACCCAACACTGCTTCATCAGGATCTACCCATCAAACAAAATTGGCCGATAACTTCTCTATTATCAACAGTTCGTCGGGTGAGAGTTCAGGGACATGGTCGGCAACCGTGTCAGCGGTAGCACTATACGCCATAGGGCCGGAGAAGGCAGAGGAATGAACGAAGACGAACTCTTCCTTCCAATATTTGATGGAGGTTGGGAGACCATCACAAAGCTCCACCAAACCATGACGAAGGGAGAAGGAAACCCAATCTCCATTGGACATTGGAATATGGAAGTGGCGAAATAGGTTGATAGACGACGACACGTCTAGAGCAACGCATAACAGAGTGAAGCAAAGACCCTTACGAAAACCGTTAGGGTGATTTGGGAAATATGCATACCATAATAATCCAAAACAGCTTCTAATAAATCAAAAGCAGGAATACGAAGTACGGATTTGAAGAACACCCGGTAAGCCCCTACGAATCCTTCAGGACCATCAATAATGGCATCATTAGCCTCCGGCAAGCGAGGATGGAACTTGAGATCAATGTTGTACTTCCGAATGAGCATTCCCATGGTTCGAACGGTCAATTTAGATTTCACTGTCTCAATATGGGAAATCCCAATGCTCTCCATGATTCAGAAAGGAAGAAAAAAGGTAGAAGAAAATGGGAGAAAGAAATTGACAGAAGGAGGAAACCGACTCTAACTGAAATAGCGAATGATGGAACAAACAGTCCAATCCCAAAGTATTTATAATGAGAAACGAACATTAACGGGCAGAGAACATGGTCGGTAGATATTGTACCCTTATTAAAGAAAAGGCAGGTGAAAAGACGGTTATAGGGATTATCATTAGGGCTAGCATAACCGTCAACACGTCACATCAAAATTAATTCAAGAGTTTTCTTCGCTTCTATCCGATTGTAACAGTTATAATATCGCTTCTTCCAAAGTTTGCATCTCTAATCCATCGAGTACGTAAAGATACAAACTGGGAAGACTTAATAGGATATAGCCTGGGAGCGCCTATATCCTTTCCAAACATACCGAACCAGCATGTAAGAAAGTTGCTCGAAGTTACCCGACCCGATTGACTCGAAGTTGGTTGTCTGCATACTGAGCGGACTAGGCAACTTGAAAGGAAGAAAAAAGGGCAACGAGAAGGTACAAGATGACATCGAAACAGTAGCAGAAGTACCTCGAAACTCTGAGAATACACCCTGCACGAGGATGCACAGCTGGAGGATCTTGGAACTGCCACAACACAACTGTGCAACGGTATATACAGTACTAATATATGTACCTTCGTGTATTACACCATAAATGCGATAGGATGGCATATCAGAGTCGATATAGGAAGAACTTGCCACTTCTTCCCATGCCACTATAAATAGATAGCCCGGTTCGTCAACCTGGTAAGCTGATAGAACCAACCCTAACTATCTCTCACAACTATCGATTACCAACCCTATCACTAACTTAACCGTCGGAGAGTCGTCCGGGACCCCCTCCCGTCCGACCTGCTCAAGGGTTGTTTGCAGTCTTCAGGTCAATCTACTAGATTGGACAGAACCAGTTCTTACGTGACAGATGGAAGACGGACCTGAGGGCGCATCACCGCCAGAATTCTGATCATAGGCAGCAAAGAAAAGGCCGGAATTTCGATCGCAGATAGCAGGGCAGTGGCCAGAATTCTGATCGCAGGCAGGTAGGAGATGACCGTCGACAATAGCAAGGTGGTGGCGATCGGCGCACATCTCAGCAGCCAGTTATGCTTGTCGCTCCATGGTAGTTGTGGTCCACTCCTCCCCTTTGGGCTCCACCTGCCCAATGGTTTAAGCAAATGGGTTGGCCCAACAACTATCAGTATAATAGAACTCCCCCTACATCAACTTGAGTTCCTTCAAATGGGGCAACCTCCTCTTGTCAACTACAGCAACAACAACAACAGGCCCAACAACCTGGTGCCTTTTATGCTTCTTGAGAAGCTCCCTCATCCGGACCTACCTCTGTTACGAATCAACCAACTCACTTACCTGAGGCATTTCAAGCTTTGAATCTTCACGACCCAATGAACTCGAGTTGGTATATGGATACGAGTGCAAAGAACCATCTTTCTGCGGGTACCGGTAACTTTCGTATTGTTTTTAATAAACACCTATTTTCGTCAATTCTTGTAGGTGAAGATTCACCAATACCCGTCACCAACACGGGACATGGCATTTTACCCACTCCTCGTCGTCTCCTTCACCTCCATAATGATCTTATTACCCCAAATATAATCAAATATTTAATTTCCTTTCGCAAATTCACTACCGATAATAATTTCTCTATTGAATTTGATCCTTTTGGTTTAACTGTGAAGGACCTCCAGACACACCAGACATTGCTCCGTTGTTATAGTATCGGGGATCTTTATCCACCTCACGACCTCCAGCCTCGTCCTCAAGCATTTGTTTCTTTGAGTCCTTCAACGTGGCACCAACGACTCGGACATACCGGGAACGAAGTGTTTCGTCATTTGCTTTCTAGTCATTTAATTTCATGTAATAAGACTGTTTCTAATTTTATTTGTAATGCATTCCAATTGGGCAAACATGTCAATCTTCCATTTTACTCATCTAATAAAGTCGTGAACTTTGTTTTTGACTTAATTCATTCCGACATTTGGAGATCACCATTACCAAGCTTGAGTGGTCTTAAATACTATGTCATTTTTTTAGATCACTACTCCTACTACCTATGGGTTTACCCTCTCAAACGAAAATGTGACACTATCTCTAAATTTCTACATTTGCAAAAACTTGTCAAAACTTAATTCAATAAAGACATCAAAGCCTTCCAATGTGATCATGGGGGTGAATTCGACAACATCGCTCTCCGCACCATCTTTGACACAAATGGTATCTCCTTACGCTTCTCGTGTCCAAGAAAATCCCAACAAAATGGCAAATTTCGAACGTATGCTCCAGACTACAAATAACCTCATTCGCTCTATTGTATTCCAATCTCACCTCCCGCCAACATATTGGGTGGAGGCTTTCCACATGGCCACACATCGCCTTAATTGCCTTCCATCCAAATCCATTGAAAATCATAGCCCTTACTTTAAACTCTATAAAAAAACCCACATATGACCACCTTCGTGTTTTCGGGTGCCTATGTTATCCACACTTGCACCCTTCCCATAAATTAGCACCACGCTCCACTCCTTGCATCTTCCTTGGATACCTCGATAACCATCGAGGTTTTCGATGTCTTGATCTTGACACTAAAATAATCATTATCTCCCGACACGTCATATTTGATGAATGTGTTTTCCCATTACGCATCCATGACACCCAATGCTCCATATTCATATGATTTTCTTAATATTTTTGATCCACCCAACTATATAGCATCTCGACTCCTTATGTCTAATCCATCGACCACCACCTCCTATCACCCCACAACCGTCACCCACCGTACCTACATCCACCTCTCCATTATCACCCACCTCTGTCACTTTGTCGCCCGATCCAACCTCTGCTCCGGCTACTCACTCTACTCCGGAAGCACCTACGGTGACAGCCCCCACTATCTCGATTCCTCTCACTACTTTCGTCAACCCCTCTATTCCTAACCCTTCAGCTCATCCTATGCATACTCGAGCTCGGAGTGGTATTTCCAAACCTATTAACAGTTTAAACCTTCATACTTTCGCTCTCTCTCAAATTCCAAAATCTCATATCCAAGCCCTTCAAGACCCTAACTAGAAATCCGCTGTGCTTGACGGATATATGGCTATTATTAAAAACAGGACTTGGGTTCTTGTACCGTGTCCTACATGGATCAATGTGGTTCGCTCTATGTGGCTTTACAAACACAAATTTAACACTACACAAATTTAACACTGATGGTTCTCTTATCGGGTATAAAGCACGACTTGTTGCTAATGGTAAAAGTCAACAACTAGGCATCAATTGCGAGGAAACTTTCAGCCCGGTTGTCAAACCAGCCACCGTGCGTACTATGCTCAGCCTGGCTGTCTCCAAACACTGGCCCGTACACCTGCTTGATGTCAAAAACTATTTTCTTCATGGTCATCTCTTAGAAATAGTTTATATGTACCAGCCTCCCGGTTTCACAGAGACATCGAAACCAACTCATGTTTTTTGCTTACAGAAGTCCCTTTATGGCCTCAAACAGGCTCCCCATGCTTGGTTTCAATGTTTTGCATCACACGCCATGAGTCTTGGGTTTCAGCATAACATATGTGATTCATCTCTATTCATTCTACGCCACGGCAATGACACGACGTACTTACTGATTTATGTCAATGATATTATTTTAACAGCTTCCACCCCCCCCCCCATTTGCTCCACCACACCATCACAACTCTCAGTAAATAATTCTCCATGACCGACTTGGGGGACTTGAACTGGTTTTTGGGGATTTCTGTCACAAGATCATCGTCAGACATGTTCCTCTCTCAACAGAAATATGCCTCTGAGATTCTTCAGCGAGCCAACATGATTGATGCCAACCCTAGCCGCACCCCTATGGATCCATCAGCAAAATTAGGGAATGGTGGCACACCAAATTTAGATCCTTCCTTATACCGCAACCTTGCGGGGACACTCCAGTATCTTACATTTACTCGCCCCGACATTTCATTTGTTGTCCAACAGATCTGCCTATACATGCACGACCCTAGAGAGCCATAATTCCACGCTCTGAAACGCATTTTGAGGTATATTCGGGGAACTCTTGATCATGGCCTCCAGTTGTACTCCTCACCCTCCACGACTTTCACTACTTATTCTGATGCAGACTGGGAGGGGGGGGGGGGGTGCCCTGTGACTCGCAGGTCCACCTCAGGATTTTGTGTCTTTCTCGGCGATAACCTCATCTCTTGGTCGTCCAAACGACAACATACTGTGTCCCGGTCCAGTGCAGAAGTCGAATATCGCGGTGTCGCCAATGTTGTCGCCGAGACATCTTAGTTACACAACTTGTTACGTGAGATTCACTTACCTCTATGATCAGTTACTCTCATCTATTGTGATAATGCGAGTGTCATCTACATGTCGGCCAACCCCGTTCATCATCAGCGAACTAAACACATCGAGATTGATATTCATTTTGTTTGTGACAGAGTTGCCACCGGTCATGTTCGAGTTCTTCATGTCCCTTCCAGATATCGGTTTTCCAACATCTTCACCAAAGGACTCCCATTTCCGTTGTTCTCTGTAATTAGATCCAGTTTAGGCATTCGTGAACGTCAGGCTCAAACTGTGGGGACATATTAGTCATATTATTATTGTTGTATTGTCCTAGATATACGCCCCCTTTTGTATCTGGCCTATTTCTTTATGTTCATGTATGTATATATATATATATATATATATATATATATATATATATATATATATATATATATGTAATGTATTGCACATAATCAATCAAAGGAAAACTCACGCTTTTAGGCTTCACTATGACGTGACATGACTTCAAGTCTGTACCCGCAGTTATGTCTTGAAAAAATGTCGTTTTAAGTCATATATGTGTATAGAAATTAATAATAGTAGAAAATATATATATATAGATTACTAATTATATACAAACTTGTTGTTTTAAGTGACATTGTAAAA